TCTGCATTTATTTATTTCATTTTATATGGTCACCAATTTCCCCAATGTAAGTCTGGGAGATAACAGATTAAACTATAATATAAATACAAAGTTTATTTTTAAAAAAAGAAAAGAAAACAGTGCTCCCACCTGACTAAAATAAAGTGACAGCCAAATGAAGTATTCATCAATAGCATTGGCTCAATTGCTCTTCTGGCCTTCATACTTATGAACTCAGTCAGGTGTAAGGAGAACAGAGTTAAAGCAACTGAACCCCAGTCTTCTAGAACATAGGCATAAGTAAGGAAAAGGCATGTTTCCTGAGACCTACTAGATGACAATCTGTAGTAGTTGTTAGTTGCGAAGTCATGACTGACCCATTGCGACCCCATGGACAATGTTCCTCCAGGCCTTCCTGTCCTCTACCATCTTTTGGAGTCCATTCACACTCACAACTACTGCCGGTGACTCCATCCAGCCACCTCATTCTCTGTCATCCCTTTCTTCTTTTGCCCTCAGTCGTTTCCAGCATTAGGCTCGTCTCCCATGAGTCCTTCCTTCTCATTAGGTTGCCAAAGTATTGGAGTTTCATCTTCAGGATCAGGCCTTCTAAAGAGCAGTCAGGATTGATCCCCTCTAGGATTGACCGGTTTGATTGCCTTGCAGTCCAAGGGACTCGCAGGAGTCTTCTCCAGCCCCATAGTTCAAAGGCCTCATTTATTTGACGCCCAGCCTTTCTTATGGTCCAATGCCATACATTGCAACTGGGAAAACCAATCTGTAATAGGTGGGACCAAAGCATGTCCAATCTGATGGAGAAGGTGATCCCTCAAATACTTTGTCCCATGACTAGCAATGATGATATTACCTAGTTTGGGTAATGAAACGTCTGCAAGAAAGCAAGCAAGCTCAGAGAGCACCAAAGAGTCTTCTTTAAAAAAAACAGGACTATGGGATAAAATAAATTACAGGACAGTAGGTGTGTTTTGCATGTTAATGCTATTCATTTGCAAATAACAAGTTTGTTGTTGTTTTAGGAGCCTACACACTGTGAAGCAAACCCTGATCTTATTTTTGA